TTCCAAAACGCACTCCAGTGACATAGTTATTGGGGGAGTGGGGGACCTTTAAAAAAAATCGTACGCCACTGGTTTTTTAAATAATTTTAAATGTTTTTAAAATGTACAATTAATTTGTGGTAATAAAATGTCCTTGTAAAGTATTCGTAAAAGATACTTATTATGACAATTCGAAATGGTTTCCCTTGTAAATTTCGCTTCATCGATAAAACCACTGACAAAATTCAATTCTCGGTTGATAGTCATCTTCATTCAATGCATGAACTATTTGAAACTTTTAACACCCTGTATCTCTGTAGGGACGCGTCCTATAAAAAATTTTTGTAGGGCAAAAGTTGATTATCTTTATCACTTATCATTAACACCCTGTATAATGAAAGTATTTCGAAAATTCCAAACTAAATTTCGATTTAAAAGTACATGTGTCTAAAAATGTGCATAGAAAGGATTCATACTATTATTTGCGACAGGTCACTAAGGATCTATTTCGTTTTTACTATTTAATTTAGAAAAACGTAACTAAACATGAAAAGTTTTTTTAAAACTCCAATATTAATGCAACAAAAAGATATAAATATAATACTATAAAATTATGTATTTTCATAAATATTCTTTTATACAGGACAGAAAAATGTCTGCTACATTTCATAGTTTGGTGTATTTTTTTTAAACAAAATAGGTATTTGGGTGATTTAGAATCAAAAGCTCTAACGACGAGAGGGTTTTGAGATTAATCTTCCAAGACACAGAGTTGAATCTTTAGAGAAATTTTACATTCGCTGCAAAATATTATAAAATTTGAGCTAATTAAAAGAAAGCCACCAAATTACTATATAAATATTCTGGGAATTTTTATGCCACTATTGATTTTGAAATTCAATCAGATTAATTTTTAACTGCAATTTGAAGAAAAAAGAAAAGAGCGTTTTTGACAGTGACATTGACTACCTATTAATTTCAGAATAAAATGTAGGTTTTTAAAAAACCTGTGGTTATGTATTTAAATCAGTAATTTTAAAATGTCAGTCAGTTTTCTTTTGTGAAACAAGAAGTAGGAAACTAGTAATTTTAGACTTTTACTTGTTAGAGGCCTAATTTCTAGAGGTTATGACTCATACAGAAGAGACATTTTACAATACAAAATTTGTTTCCGTTATTATTTTGCGTTATAAACTATCACTGCAAAAAATAGTATAATTTCTAAGCAAAATCCCAAATTCTGTAAATATTTCGTTTGTCAGTAAAAAAGATTTTGTGGTAAATTTATATTTAATTTATATATAAATTTTGTGAGTATTTTTGTAATAATGGCATAAAGATTTTCAGAATAATATAAGTAATCCCGTTCTGTAATAAATTTGTAATTTTTTTAACTTTAACAATCAAACGTCATTTTCTATAGTCGAAAATTTACTATACATTAATGATCTAAGACAATATGATAATAATAATAGTAATAATAAGAATAATAATGATGATTATGCGATTTTGAGACTTTAGCTGAACTTCCTGATAATAGATGGCGCAACTAGGATGTGGATTAACATGTTGCAGCTGTCCACCAAATTGTTTATAGTCTTTTATTTTTACGAGGGTTAAATAATGATTTAAAACAAAAATAAACAATACAGTGCAAGTTTTTTGTTACATTACTTCATTTTGTGACAAGATCTGAAAAGATGCCTAGCACCCCATTCTGTCATGTCTTATTTTGCTTGAGTTGATAGTGCCAACAACAGACAATAGTAGCGACCAGTCATTTCAGTGTAAACCTACAATACAATGGATTTAATCGCATCGTCTCCCACTCTTTTTCAAATCTGAAATTGTTTGTGTCTATGGGAATTATGAGAATCGTATAATCGATTATATTTGTCTCTACAGTTGTGAGAAAAGTATGACTAATGTGCAAGCTTTCACAAACTTTTTCATTCCACATGAAATAGTTTAATATTTTTATTACTTTTTATTATTAAAAAAAACACTTAGATATCAAAAAGGAACAAACACCTGTTAAGTACTGTAGGCAATCTTTTGAAAAAAATTGATAAAGAAATGGAAACGACCCTCTTAACCATTAGTCAAGTGCGACATACGAAAATTACGCCAGGAGTTGTGATTTTGCATATTGTCAGCGCCACAATAATATCAAATAATCCGATCTTGTACCTAGGCTAATTACAAAACAAATGTTGCGTTACGATTACAATTAGGGCTGGTTAATTGGCTAGTTAGGCATAAACCGCAACCCCGTGTTAGCCGAGGCGATCCTATCTGCTTTATATCCTTTACGAGGTTTGACGTATATGTCCTTTAAATGCGTTTGACGCATTATCTATTGTCAGCCTTGGTTTAAATTGTTTAAGATTTAAATATTTAACGAAGCACGTTTAGCGTTTAACGTGTTTGCTTTACTCAAAGACACAATCGTGAAAACTAGTTAATTTGAAATGATTGTTTTTATGAACCGTAAATGCCGATAACGTTGAAAGTTAATGGAGACAAATGTCCACACAATTATAATTTTATTAACATATTGATATGCGAATTATGCAGTGGTAGAAACGAGGTTTTAAACGGGTACCGACATGATTTCAGAAATTGTCAGAGACGTTACTGAAGACATTCCAGTTAAAGGACAATGTTAAAAATCGGTCAGTTTCTGCACCACTCTGGAAATTTCCATAGCTATCTTAAATGATTTTCTTTTGAATTCTTTTTACCATAATTTAATATGATGTAAGCTACTACATATTTACAAACGTATCACTACATATTTTTTTTTTTTTTTGACAATGAAAGTCGAAATATTTATACAAAATCGCCGGTGGGCAAACGAACTGAACAAAATGTATAAAACTCCGGGCTTATTAAATACCAATTAAATTAATTGCCGACAAAACACCTGTATGTACACACTAAGTGATTAAATGCTCATTATAGCAAAACCTAAAATTACGCGTTGTGTGTGTGCAAAGGCAAAACTAATCAACGTTAATAGAATCAAAATATGGTGCAGTTTAATTAGGAAACTAGGATACACAATCACATCAATAATTTAAATTTGAGGGATAATAATACACTCATTAAAGTCGAGTTAGTCTCATGCATGCATACTGGCAGCATTTCGTAACAGAATCTAACTGACTATCAGAGAAATATCAATTTATGCTAACTACATACTCATTTTCATAGCCAGCTACTTATAGATGGTGCAATACCTCGTACTCAGTTATTTGCGATTTTCTGTGTATACCATTAATTTTGCAAAAGCTACAAAAATTGCGGTGCAATTGCACAATACGGTATCTAATGCCTTTGTCACGAAATAATCAAATAGTCAATTGATGAAACGTACAATTATAGGAACTTAATTCTATGATTATTCTTTTACAATAAATTAGATGTCGTAGGTTCATTTTTTAACCACAGATTTTTGTAAACGTCGTGCTATAAATTTGAGTGTTTGCTTATTTATTAATAAATGTATAAAAAAATAATAACGCTGAGAACAAATATGTAGATTTAAAAAAAGCAATGACACTCGTAACTAAGAAATCAAATAAGATAAAAAAATACATGACAATTGTTCGAGTCGTCAAACGTATAATAACAAGTTCAATATTTTTAAGAGAAAATGGGATCCACAAGATATATTAAAATGTAAAGCAGGTGTAAAAGTTATTACTTCTGTATTTTAAATCTAAATAAAATACTTCTGTCTTATTATAGAAAACAATATTTAAGTTTATTATTAAATTTAAAATGAACATTTATACACATGTACATAATTTTTTTAAAACCCTGACTTCTACTCTTTACTTCTGTGCTTATCTTCCGAAAAGAGTTAGGATTGTAATCCATTTTTCACTTTTCCAAGATAACCTATATGTTTATGTGTATAAATCCCTTTCTGTTTTAATCTTGAAAAATACAAACAGTAAATATTGTATACTGGCCTACAAAAAATAATCTAAAATATTGTTTGTAAATCAATATTGTGTTCTTAATATTATTTTTTTATACATCTGTACGTATTACTTCAGTGATTGTATTACTATAATTATTATTATAATTACTAATATAAGTAGCATGGCTCATCAAATGGAAAGGTGCACGAATTGAAAAATATGGGTATTTTAGACATAATAAAGTATTATAGTCCAGTCATTGAAGGTAAAATACGGTATAATTTTCCCAAACAGTACCGACTTGCACCAAAATTTGGATTTAGGTTCCACTTACCCTCTACTTCACAGTTGACCCTGTGCCGGGGGCTGCTTTTTATTTTTTAGGGGGTGAACACTAAAATAAAAGTAAAGGGTTTTACAAGCACTTTAAAAAAGGTTCTAAGAGTATTCCCTGAAAAATGCATTGGTTTTTGGTTATTTCACGTTCAAACTTTCAATTTTGGCGTTTGACGAATCAGTACCAACCTTCAGCAAGCTATTACTCCGCCTGCATTGGGTTTACAGACACCATAAATACATCATTCTTTTTATTTTTTGATAAGCTACATTTTGTATAAGAATAATTTTTTTTATAAAATGCTTACTTTTTGAGTTATTCGCGAAAAACCGTATGAAAAAGTGGTTTTCTTGGATAAAAAATTTACACTCACTCGCGAATAAGTCGAAAAGTATTGACTTTCAGAAAAAACTTTATAGAACAAAAGATGCTTAGAATTAGTCAATATTCCCAAAGTTATTTTCAATGTAACATTTTTCACCCCCGAGAAGGGGTGGCATCCACCCTCAGGGTAAAAGCAACCCCCGGTACAAGGTCAACTTTGAAGTAGAGGGTAAGTAAAACCTAAATCCAAATTTTTATGAAAATTGGTGCTGTTTGGTAAAATTATACGGGAAAATGGTCATTGACTAGACTATTAGTTGTGCAAATGTTTACAAACTGGCCCAAAAATTAACCAGATTTATATTGAAAGGGACAAGGACCTTAGAATTAATTTGGCATCTACACAGGATAAATAAATTTTAACTCACCATCACTTGAAGAAGATCCAACGTGGGAACCACCGTCCCCTGAAAAAACTAATTTAATCAATTTTATAAACCTATTTTAGTAAATTTTGAAATTTATTCATAATGGCTATTAGTTGGGCCAGTCTGAATATTTCCTATCGATGATTTTACTATTATTTATGTATTTATCCAACTTTAATTCACTCGATTGGATAAAAATCTTTTATAAAATAAACTAACTCCAGAGTGTATCCAGATATGTATGCATAAACATATAAATAATAATCAAATTGGTTAAAACAAATCAGTGAATAATCTAAGATAATAAACAATAAAATTATTCAATATATAAATAAAAGATTTATAAAATTTATTTATTTATTTTTAAAATAGAAAAGATAAAAAAACATTATAATATTAAGTCTAGGTCCAGTTCTAGGAATTCTGTAGCTTAAATTGAACTGGGCATAAAGCAAACAATACTTTTGTTAACAAGCTTGAATTACAATATTTTGCAATGTGATACAATTCAATTAAATGTCAATAATTGGCCAAGACATTACTTGCAAATATCAAAAACCATAATTGTTAAACATCATACACCGGCAATATGGTCTTGCCCTTTAAGGAGCAATCAATCAAAAAAATTTTCACAAAGAACGATTAAATTGAATCAAAAACAAAAATAAAGCACAAGTGAAGAGCACGCGCACCGTTGTTCAACAAGCACCGGTCGAGAATATTTCTGGCCTTGTTCTGTTCGGGATGATGGCGCATCTTCAAGTTCTTTTGAGGCTGAACATGCAGCATTCGTTATTATTTATGAGGCACAGCACTGTGCGGTGTTCTACCTTCAAATACCGCTGACATATTTCACATATCGTGAATAAACGGTTCGGATTTTCCACGTACATATGCCAAATTCTGTTACTGGTCTCTTTAACCCGTTCTAGTTGCACTTACTTTAAATTTAATCCGCCAGTTTAGAATATTGCTTAGTTATAATTTAAAAAAATATACAGTGTGTCTCCGAATGAAGTACCGTAGAAAATTAAAAGACGAATACGAAAATGTCATGGTTGTTACCGTAAAGCAGTGGCGTACTATTTTATTTAGAAAAATATGCCAAATTTTAGGAAAAGCCCTCAGATTTTGGACAATGTTTACATAAATACATGTGCCCAATTTCAAATTATTTCACTTACCTACTAGTTTTAAAATTATCTAAAAAAATTTAAAATATTTTTTGAAGTTTAACACCTTGTATCTTTTTAAAGAAGCGTCCCAAATAAAAACTTTAAAGGAAAGACTCAACTTAAAATTTAGTATCTTTTCTGAATATTGCATTAATTTTAATCAAATAAATTAACAAATTATTTTCTGATATACCTAATTGTATACCTAAATTTATTTAGGGTTATTAAATAAAAAGGAAAACAACTAATCTAAATTTAGTTGTTATACTGGTTACTTTATAATTGATAATGGGATACAAAGTTCGGCGTAAATTTAACCTGAAATTACCCACGTACTAACTTCCTCTATAATGTTCCTAAAAATCGATCGGGGATCATAAAATTACATGCAATCAATGGTTATTAAATGAGTGATCAATGAGAGGCGATGTAAGTCCACCCACTCCATGAAATTATCTGGAGATTCTGCCCCGTGTAAGATCGTTTTTGGCGTACGAGTACAATTTAAAAATTTAATCTATTGCCTAATTCGTGGTATAGTATTTCAAACCGAACATGATCTGAAAAACGGCAACCCAATCGAACGGTTCGTTTTTAATGGTTCCTCGGTGAAGTTAGGTGGTTGAGTTGGCTGGGTCGCTTTTTATGGCTTTATGGACATCTTGTGGATAATGTATCGACTGGACCAGCGATGTAATCGCTTGTAAATCAGTGCCAATATGATCTTTGCAGAAAACAACAACCATTCTTAAATTGCTATTTCAAGACTAATTCTCTGCAATTTAGAAAACTATAACTGAGATGTGACAGTCAACTAAAACTTTTGGGGTCTGTAGTCGTCGACCACGATGCTTAAGAAAGCATGAAATATAATTGCTACGGCAGGACATGTTTATTAAAATTTTCTTTTAGTCTGTCGCTGAATAAGTATAAGTATAATTAAATTAATTGGAGTACGGTCATTGTAATTTTTAATGTAGTACACGCAAATTTAATATTTTCAAAAATATCTGACAATGGAACCTACTGGAACCTTTACAAAAAGAATCTACACTAACTATATTTACGTAATTGTGAAAATCCTAAAAGGCCTCTGTAAGGTACTTATATTTTTTTGCAACATCTCTCACCACTAGAAAGGAAGGCTCTAATCTTATACAGGGTGTGTTACCAATTGCGATTAAAATAGATAAGTAAGAGTAGGATGATTTTTGATAGTAATTTAAAAAGCTACCTCAAAAAAAAATAAGGGAAAGCATATTTTTTGGTGAATTCATTTTTAAATTCATTTTCGTCAAAGAATAACATTTAAGACAAAATAACCCAAGTAGTGTTATTATAGGAAAATTTTGTATAATATAATGCAACTATTTAAAATGGAAACCAGTTTGAAATTTTAAATTTGCATTAATAATAAGCATACAACTGATGCGCCAGTCAGGTGTATAATTTTTCTATCAGTTGTTAATCTACGCCTAAGATCTAAGTCGCTGCAAGAATTAATAAAATTAGGGAGATTAGTATGCATTTTCCTATGCTCGAAAAATTCCCCGACTTAAAAAATTAATTGCTTGCATTCAGGCAAAGATTGAGACATTACTTTCTTTAATTTTCTTAATATATTCATGCGAAATGACGCAAATTATTTTTCTTGTTTGCATATTGAATGTTTTATTAACATCGAACGTTAGGATAATATATGCTAATAACAAAATTACGTTAAATGTTCACAGTCGGACAGGGTAATGAATTATGGTCGTAAAAAGTAAAATTAGACTTACGTTTCTTCTTGTGTTCCTGTTCCTGTTGATGCATTGCACCTCCTGAGGGGTCTAACATCATGGAGTGCCCCAGGTGCCCCCCATGACCCCCTGGCTGACACTCCATCGTGATCATACTACCCTCAATGATTAGTCCTCACTGAAAAATAGTAACCGATATATAATGACAGATACCAAAGTTAAAGGCTATTAATTTTTAAAGTTGATAAAATGACAGACTTTAGTCTGTGGAGAGTATGTTTCTTTAAGATAAAAATGTGGCTATATTTCAGAACTTAATAAACAGTCGACGTCAGAGATAAATAAAGCATTTTCAAAAGATTCCACTTTCCGATTTCACTATTTATTTCCAAACGTCAGCCATGTCTTCCCAAGTAGTAGTTAATCGGGTAAAGAAACCGATCAGTGACAGTAAAATGTTATCTCCGTGGTACATTATGATCTGGAACTGTCATAGATGTTATGTGTGAGTTACAAGAAAGAAAAGTGAGAATATGTCACGTAAATCATGACGCGGATCTGCAAAACTAACTCGCTTACCATATGGCCTTATTTATAGGTAACCAATACATCTATTCCATTAGACGCATGAATCAGACTTGCTCTTCGGAAGATTTTAATGATCGTTTAGAGGATGATACACTTTAAGCGTAAACTTGTAAATCTAGATTTTATTTCGTTTTGCAAATGTATGTGCAACTAAAGAAAATATTCTAAAATAATTGGAAAGATTATGTGTGCGGAAGAAAGGTTCCAAAGTAATTAGTTGAAAATAAATATACAATTTCGAGTTTCTTAGTCTAAAATTAAATTATGTCATATTTCACATTTTTACTTAACATCTGTTGTATTTTGAAAGTGATTATTTTTCTTACGTTAAGCTTTGCCACTATGTTTATTGATTTTATATTATATTATTTATTAATTCTTTTTTACATAATTTATTAACTGTCTCTTCTTAGCAGAGTCTATTTCCTCTAGTCTAGATGTATTAACAGAATGTGCCTTTGTTCAATATATTAAGATTATTTTTTAAATTTTGTGTTTTCTCAACCTTCAGAAAACTTTCATGTAAAATAATTATCTCCAGAAATGGAACCAATTTATTATAATTATGTTAATTAATGAATCTGATTATTACACTTAGGATATCCTACCTACCAATGCCCCTTTTAAATAAGAGCGTGTTTCCGTCAGTGAAAGTAGGCTTGGTGCGACAATAAAATAGAAGCATTTTACAAAAGATCGTTAATGATTCCAAAGGAGCTCAGCTGTTGCGCCACGCGTTCCCGGATTATCAGATAAAGGTGAGCAACATAAGGTCTAATGAAGAAGCCGACATTTTCTTGACTAGGCGGGAATCAGCCCAACGAAAATGCCATATGTCATTGCTACCCTTTATTACGACTTGAGCGATAAACCCGGGGTTGGACCTTCATTTGCTTTTAGTTTCCTCCGTGTATGATTTGCGGTTTTTTATATCTTACCTGTGGTTTATGGATAATGGAGTATTATATAATGTATAAGCCACGCTCGCCGCATAATTGTTTCCTTTTCCTCTTTGGTTTCAGTTTTTAGCGACGTGTAAGCAATCATTAAAACTTATTTGTTTTAGGAATAGTTTCCTACATGTATTTTTAAAAAAGCAATTCCTTTCAGAGCTAGTGGTTTGAGGTATTCCAGGTGGTGAATAATATTTCATATCTTTTCACTTAAGAGTAATATTTGTATGCCGTATATTGCAGTCTACAACGTTTGAAAATGTATCGCGGTACCAAACCTTAACGGGTATACCATTCAATAAATTGCTGTAAACTGCAATAGGAACGATTCTACAAGTTGAAGAATTGTTGTAAAAGTGAATACATTGAAAATCTTAGCTATAATGAGGATGTTAATGTATACATTCAAAGAGATAGACAATTACAAAAACAGTTTTATGATTGACAATTAAGTTTTAATTAATTTTCAGTCGTCTTGTTACTTTGAAAGACAATTATGTTTATTTCATTGCATATTGTTAATGAAGTCCAAATATAAGCGCGTGATTAAAAGGGGCACCATTTTTTATGTCCTATAGGTAATGAGAATAAATTATCCGGAGTACTATCTAACTGCATGATTAGAATATCTTGTTTTAAGATAGCTACTAAAAAGGAAGCTGCTTAAAAAGCACGAAAAACGATTTATCAGAAATCAGAACAACAAGAAAAAAAGAAAGATAAAATTATGTATTCGTTTTCTTTTATGCCATCGATTTCGTGAAAATTTATTGAATCATATCCTCAAGCAGCAAGATTACAGTGAAAAAAATAGTAAAATATAATTTATAATTAAAAGTAATTGTTAGGTTACAACTAGATCACGAAAAAAACAAAGGTAGAACTATCTGCTAATAACATGAAAACAATAACAATAAAAAAAGTGGAAAATGTTAATATCAAAGTATATGTAGTAGTGTTTTATAAAAGTTTATTTATGATCATATTTTTGACAGAGATTTTTTTAAAAGAAATACATATAGATAGATGAGTTCATTTTCTTTTCATTTTGTCCTGATATGGGTACCTGCCCACATAGAACTGATCCGTCCACATTAGATATGGTTTAACTATGTTATTGTTGCTGCAATACAAAGAAGAGACGCTGTCTCTAAAGTGAAGATGGAAAGAAACATTCGCCAACATTTAATCAAAGTGAGTAAAATGATCTTATTCGCAATCTAGATTTACCAAAAGACGTAGCTAAATATTTAGTTAGAGAACTGAAAAAGAAAAATCATGTAAGTTTTGGGAAATATTTTTCTTCAGATGAGGAGTTTCTGTTAGTGTATTGTTCCGATTTTAGAGACCTAACAAACGAGTTAAAACACAACATTTATAAAGACAACGAGTTGATATTATTCATTACTTCCTCAAAACGGTTCAGAGCATAAATGGCGAATTTCTGGAGGTTTCAAAACCATTACTATTACCATGGGATAGCAATTGAGATCTCCTCATTATCCCTGTTTTGCATTTTCATTGGAAGTAGAGATAGAAGAACCACTATGAGCACAAAAAATTGGTCTAGTCGAGAAGATTCTGCTTCCTCCGCTACACATAAAACGTGGACTATTGAAATAATTCACTAGAGATAAGTTTTCCTCCTCAAACATGTGACAGAAAACCTTTTGGGAAATCACAAAAGCCATAGCAATAAAACCCTAATTGTGGAAATGGTAGAGAGTTTCAGGGAACATAGAGTTTGTGGATTACTTCTCCGATAATTTCAAGATTTCATCAATTCAAAATGGGGAAAAGTATCAAGATAAGTGGAAAGTGAATATGATGGCGAAGTATTATTTCAATGTTGAACACATAATGTAAGGTTGAAGGTAAAAATGGAAAGATAAACCCTCTACATTTTTGAAGACAAAAAAGCTCGTTACAATCGAAGGTGTGGATTAAAAAATAACTAATGAACACTTTTACCCCAAATCGCATAACACCATGGTATGAAACACCCTTTTATATCAATCGAGTGGTCATTTTCTGGAAAATTGTGGTTGCTGGTGCCAAAGTGACTTCAAATTTATTTTCAGCAGATCCGAAATTATGGAGGTAGGGTTATGGAATCCAGTATACAGACCAGTGTCTCCCACGATAGAAGAATACTTAACCACATTCGTAAATAACCCATTTTTATTAAATTTGGGGGGCATTGTCTCGAGAATTGTGAACGCCGGTACCAAACTGACTTCAAGTTCATATTTAGTGGATCCGAAATCATAACAGCAACAGGGTCTGATCAAAATAACAGACCACTTTTTTGTTATGGATAACTGCTTTATTAAGAGTTGTTTCTTTAGCATATCTAGATATTTGTTATTTTTTTTCTTTAGAGAACTCTAGAGTTTATTTATTATTTCGAAGTGAATGTTTACAAATGAAGTGGTCTAAAACTGACAAAATAATTAAAAATCAATTTTCTGTTCTATATTTAAGTAGTTTAGAACCAACAAGAATGCCACACTGATCATCTGAGTGAGGCAAAACAAATTAGACAAACAATTTCGGCTACAAAATTGTAGAAGGGCTGGCGGTGGTCAGTTTTAATTATATTTCTCAAATGAGTTGTATCTATTGGCGTTCTTTCATCACAGCAACGGCTAAGTGGCTGAACTTTTCCCGAGGTATTTATTACACAGTGTAAAGATTGTTGATAATTAAATGCACACGCAAGGCAAATGAATCACGCATATTCATATCTGGTGTCGATAATAATTGAAGGAATTGTGTCTTAATATATCCGCAGTTAATTGAACGCGTTCGAAAATTTAGTTAACCTAAGCTGAGAGCGGCGATAGCAAAATTGATTTATTCGAGTTATTTGAGGAATTCACATAACAATTTCCATTAGTAATTCTTAAATCAATTCGTTTAGAAACCGTCAATAAATCGGACTAATAGAATCGATAAATATGCGCTGATTTATTAATGGACTTCCTATAAATCATGTTAATATAAGCGCATTAATACACCGACATCATTAGACGACAAATGATTTAATATTTACAAATGCCCCGACACTAGACTACTTCTTCGAGCAAAGCAGTGAGAATGAAAACCGTTAACGATGCTATTGTCCATGCATGATTAAACTTCTTTATTACGTTCTCACACCTTGAACGATACCTTTAAATCGAACCGTATCTCTCCGTCTTTATGTGCAGTTGATTTTTTTTATTGGTAGGTATCAGACCGAAAAGTTCGGCCACAAAAAACTCATTCATAAGATAGATAGTAGAGTAAACGGTGCTAAGCATATTATCAGTAAATGTTTTGTTTCGCAAGATTCATGAATAAGTATGAGCTGGTGGAATTAGATGAAAGTGTGCATTGGTATTTGACAAATGACTAGGTAGAACATACAGTAATATCCTTTACTGTCGCGAGATAATTACAACCAATTAATAAATTTCCCTATCTCGTTTCCGTGTATTTATGAAAAAAAATCTCGATCTAATGTCGCCAAGAAATAAGACGCAGGATCTCAAGGCAGATAGAATTCTGTGAAATG